TATGTGTTTACACTCCTGCATAATATGACTTTGAAACCCCCCCCCCACCCACCCACCTCCTACGCATTTCACAAGTAGTGACTAATCCCATATCTGCATTTCCCATAAATATGCTAAATTCCTCTTGATATGCAAATTCTTTTGTCAAGTCTCTCTTCCCCCTCCAACCCAGCAGCTTAAATAGACGCTGCCAAGCCTGGTGGTGTTTCATTCAGTCTCTGTCTTCCCGACAGACCTGTTCTTCACCTGAAGACGGCTGCTTGCGTTGTGGCCGAAACGTCGTGAGAATTATTTTATTATGTTTTATTTTTATTATTTTATTATTTCCTTCTACATGATGACTTTACCGAAAGAACTAAGAAGAAAAATCACAAGATTCTGACTCATTGGGAATGGAATGTGTGTGGGGGGGGAGGGGACCACTTCCGAAACGGGGCGTGGTGCCTCGTCAATGACGTCGTCACGTGACGCGCGCGCGTGGGGGGGGGGGTGAGATTCGTGACGTCACGCGATAAATGGCGTCACGGCACGCGGCTATTTAAAGACCACGTGGCTATTTTTAATCTGCGCTCCGCACGGAGACAAAGAAAAGCCACCGCCGCCACCACCACCGCCACACCCCGCCACTTATACGAAGGCTGGAGTCACCACACGGAGTGGGTGCGGTGGAGTGGCCAGCAACCCGCCTTGTCTCTCCCTCGTGGCGATGTTCGTTTTGTCTTCTTGGTTCTTTCGGTAAAGTCGTCACGTAGAATGGAAGTAATAAAACAATGAAAATAAAACGTGATAAAATGCGATTCTCACGACGGGAAATAAAAAAATAATAAAATACAACTTGATAAAATTCGATTCTCACGAAGGGAAATAATAAAATAAAAAATATAAAACTTAATAAAATATAATTCTCACAAAAGAAATAATAAAATAACAAAAATTAAACATTATAAAATACAATTCTCACAAAGGGAATAATAAAATAAAAAATATAAAACTTAATAAATACAATTCTCACAAAGGGAAATAATAAAATAAAATTGAAACATAATAAAATACAATTCTCACAAGGGAAATAATAAAATTAAAAAAATAACAAAATACAATTCTCACAAAAGGAAATAATAAAATAATAAAAAATAAAACATTATAAAATAATTCTCACGACGTTTCGGCCACAACGCAAGCAGCCGTCCTCAGGTGAAAACCAGGTCTGTCGAGGCGTCAGCGCTGTCGCCTCGACAGACCTGGTTTCACCTGAGGACGGCTGCTTGCGTTGTGGCCGAAACGTCGTGAGAATTATTTTATTATGTTTTATTTTTTATTATTTTATTACTTCCCTTCTACGTGACGACTTTACCGAAAGAACCAAGAAGATGAATCCCTGCAGTCACGAAAGAAGCTTTAAATTGTATTTTATTATGTTTTATTTTTATTATTTTATTATTTCCCTTCTACGTGACGACTTTACCGAAAGAACCAAGAAGATGAATCCCTGCAGTCACGAAAGATGTTTGTTTTGTCACCACGCACCAACAACTCGGTCGAGATCGAGTTGTTGGAGGCTCGGGGGAGGGCCACGTGACTGTAGCATTATGTTTTGAAGGGGCCCGACATAAAAAAAACACTTAAATATGAAAACACACAACGTTTTTACTTGCACAGTAAAGTATTTGTATTTTTTCATTTGCTATACAGTCAGACATTACGACAAATTGCAAAGCTTAAACACCGCCCCCCCCCCCAAGTCGTTCATCAAAGTTGAAGGGCAGTATAGTACTATAGCAATAGAGCAAGTGCAGCATCACTGAACCGGAATTGACAGCTTGAAAGCGTTTCGCGCGGGGCTCTAGAAAGTGCGGGGCACGTAGCTACTTCTGCATATGTTGTAGTGTATGGGAGGTGTGTGGGAGGTGTATGGGGGGTGTGTGGGTTGGTGTGTGGGTTGGTTGGGGGTGTGTGGGGGGGTGTGGGGGATGTGTGGGGGGGTCTGGGGGTGTGTGGGGGGGGGTGTGGGGGGGGGGTGTAGGGGTTGGTGTGGGGGGTGTGTGGGTCGGTGTGGGGGTGTGTGGGAGGTGTGTGTGGGTTGGTGTGTAGGTTGGTGTGTGGGGGTGTGTGGGGGGTGTGTGGGTTGGTGTGAGGGGTGTGTGGCTTGGTGTGTGGGTCGGTGTGGGGGGTGTGTGGGTCGGTGTGTGGGTCGGTGTGGGGGTGTGTGGGAGGTGTGTGTGGGTTGGTGTGTAGGGTTGGTGTGGGGGTGTGTGGGTTGGTGTGGGGGGTGTGTGGGTTGGTGTGGGGGTCTGTGTGGGTTGGTGTGTGGGTTGGTGTGTGGGTTGTGTGGGGGTGTGTGGGTTGGTGTGTGGGGGGGTGTGGGGGATGTGTGGGGGGGTCTGGGGGTGTGTGGGGGGGGGGGTGTGTGTGGTTGGTGGGGGGGTGTGTGGGTCGGTGTGTGGGTTGTGTGGGGGGTGTGTAGGTTGGTGTGGGGGTGTGTGGGTGGTGTCGGTGGGAGGCGTTGGTTTTGTAACCGTGGCGATGTTATACGACACGTCACGTCAGGCAACATCGCTACTAGGGGAGACAAAGGCGGCCGGATGTGCGCGACCATTGCCAAGGGACCCCCCCTCACCCCCAGCGTGTCGTGCCAGATTTCACAAATTGTGCTGCTTGCTACTCGCCACGAACGGCACTTGCCCCAACAGCCTGTCAGAGGCTACACGGGGGATCTTTGTCTTTGTCTGTATAACTGTGATTGCTAACAGCACTTGCCCCAACAGCCTGTCAGAGGCTACACGGGGGATCTTTGTCTGTGTGTGTGTATGCCTGTGCTTGTTAACAGCACTTGCCCCAACAGCCTGTCAGAGGCTACACGGGGGATCTTTGTCTTTGTCTGTATAACTGTGATTGCTAACAGCACTTGCCCCAACAGCCTGTCAGAGGCTACACGGGGGATCTTTGTCTGTGTGTGTGTATGCCTGTGCTTGTTAACAGCACTTGCCCCAACAGCCTGTCAAAGGCTACACGGGGGATCTTTGTCTTTGTCTGTATAACTGTGATTGCTAACAGCACTTGCCCCAACAGCCTGTCAAAGGCTACACGGGGATCTTTGTCTTTGTCTGTATAACTGTGATTGCTAACAGCACTTGCCCCAACAGCCTGTCAGAGGCTACACGGGGGATCTTTGTCTGTGTGTGTGTATGCCTGTGCTTGCTAACAGCACTTGCCCCAACAGCCTGTCAAAGGCTACACGGGGGATCTTTGTCTTTGTCTGTATAACTGTGATTGCTAACAGCACTTGCCCCAACAGCCTGTCAGAGGCTACACGGGGGATCTTTGTCTGTGTGTGTGTATGCCTGTGCTTGCTAACAGCACTTGCCCCAACAGCCTGTCAGAGGCTACACGGGGGATCTTTGTCTGTGTGTGTGTATGCCTGTGCTTGCTAACAGCACTTGCCCCAACAGCCTGTCAAAGGCTACACGGGGGATATTTGACCGAGATGACTGGCTGATGCACCACCTGTGCCCCCCTACTGTGCCCAACTTGCTGTGCTTTAGCCACCCGGCGCTCCGCTCGTTGTTGTGAGCGTCGCTCCTCCGCCCTCCGTTGTTGTTGGAGGGCGACTGCCTCCAACTGCCCAGTAGCGTCCTTCACGAGCCTCCTCCACAGAGGCCGATCTTGACACCGCTGGTACCAGTGAGACCTCTGCTGTTAAACCGTAGCCGGTCATGAACACACTGCCCAGATGTGGGAAACTCTCCACTCTCTCCACTACTGCCCCATCACCGATTGGGAGTTGTGGGGGTGGAGTGTCCGATAGGACAAAATACCCAGGCAGGTGCTTAGTTTTGGTGGGGCTGATGGTAAGGCCCCACCTCCTAGTGGCACGCTCCAGTCTCACCCACACACACACCTACACACACACACCTACACACACACACCTACACACACACCTACACACACACCTACACCTACACACACCTACACACACACACCTACACACACACCTACACACACAACTACACACACACCTACACAACAACTACACCTACACACACACACACACACCTACACACCCACCTACACCCACCCCACACACACACCTACACACACAATTACACCTACACACACACCTACACACACACCTACACACACACACACACCTACACACACACCTACACACACAACTACACACACCTACACACACACACACCTACACACACACACACCTACACACACACACAGACGCACCCCCAGTCTGTGCTCACGCCCCACATTCTTCGTTCCGGGTTGCCTCGCTTCCTCATCGCCACCGGCAGCTCCAGTGACACGACCGGCTCGCTCGTCACACGCCCGGCGAGACACGCGGAGACAGACACCTGGGAGACACGGAGACACTTGGGAGACACCTGGGAGACACGGAGACAGACACCTGGTGGGAGACACGGAGACAGACACCTGGTGGGAGACACGGAGACAGACACCTGGTGGGAGACACCTGGGAGACACCTGGGAGACGAACGGAGACAGACACCTGTGCGAGACAGAGACACGGAGACGCGGAGACTACACCTGGGGGACACGGAGACACCTGGGAGACCGGAGACAGACACTGTGGGAGACACGGAGACAGACACCTGGTGGGAGGACACGGAGACAGACAACCGGTGGGAGACACGAGACAGACACCTGGTGGGAGACACGGAGGACCCTGGGAGACACGGAGACACCTGGAGACACGAGACAGAAACTCACCTGCGTTAGACAGAGACACGGAGACACGGGGACACGGAGACAGAAACTTCACCTCGTAGACAGAGAAACGGGGACACGGGGACACGGAGACAGAAACTCCACTAGCGTTAGACAGAGACACGTGAGACACGGGACACGGAGACAGAAACTCACCTGCGTTAGACAGAGACACGGGGACACGGGGACACGGGAGACAGAAACCTCACTTGCGTTAGACAGAGACACGGGGACACGGGACACGGGGACACGGAGACAGAAACTCACCTGCGTTAGACAGAGACACGGGGACACGGGGACACGGGGACACGGAGACAGAACTCACCTGCGTTAGACAGAGACACGGGGATACGGAGACACGGAGACAGACACTCACCTGCGTTACAGAGACACGGAGACACGGGGACACGGAGACAGAAACTCACCTGCGTTAGACAGAGACACGGAGACACGGGGACACGGAGACAGAAACTCACCTGCGTTAGACAGAGACACGGGGACACGGGGACACCTATGTGAGACAGAGACACGGGGACACCTATGTGAGACAGAGACACGGGGACAGGTAGACACCTGGGGAGACACCTGGAGACACGGGGACAGGTAGACACCTGGGGAGACACGGAGACACCTGTGTGAGACAGAGACACGGGGACCCTGGGAGACACGGGGACAGGTACACACCTGGGAGACACCTGGGAGACACCTGGAGACACCTGGGGAGACACGGAGACACCTGGGAGACACCTGGGAGACACGGAGACACCTGTGGAGACACCTGGGAGACACGGAGACACCTGTGGAGACACCTGGGAGACACGGAGACAGGTAGACACCTGGGGAGACACGGAGACACCTGTGGAGACACCTGTGTGAGACAGAGACACGGGGACACCTGGGAGACACGGAGACACCTGTAGAGTCACCTGGGAGACACGGAGACAGGTAGACACCTGGGGACAGGTAGACACCTGGGAGACACGGAGACACCTGTGCGAGACAGAGACACGGAGACACCTGTGCGAGACAGAGACACGGAGACACCTGGGGACACGGATGCAACTGGGAGACACGGAGACACCTGTGTGAGACAGAGACACGGGGACACCTGGGAGACACGGAGACACCTGTGGAGACACGTAGGAGACGTGAGGGCGAGTCGGCCATGCCCACACCGAACAATCTCAGTGGGGTCGCTCTGGGACACCGCGAATCAACAGCGCAGATACGCAAATCAGTGGGGTGGGGAGAAGTCTACTCTGTCATCGTCTAATCAATGCACGCATTCTGTTTGTATTATGATATAATAATAATCATCTTTCTTTCTTATAAATATACGTGTGTATATGTCAGCCGTTACGTGAGCCAGTGCCGGAGTAAGTTAGTGCGGTGCCTGTAGCATTATGTTATGAAGGGGCCCTAAAATAAACAGTAGTAGTACTACTACACATGTAGCTACTACTGCACGTGTAGCTACTACTGCACGTGTAGCTACTACTACACGTGTAGTAGCTACTACTACTATTACTAGCTGCTACTACACGTGTAGCTACTACTACACGTGGAGTAGCTACTACTACACGTGTAGTAGCTACTACTACTATTACTAGCTGCTACTACACGTGTAGCTACTACTACAACACGTGTAGCTACTACTACACGTGTAGTAGCTACTACTACACGTGTAGTAGCTACTACTACTATTACTAGCTGCTACTACACGTGTAGCTACTACTACAACACGTGTAGCTACTACTACACGTGTAGTAGCTACTACTACACGTGTAGTAGCTACTACTACTATTACTAGCTGTTACTACACGTGTAGCTACTACTACACGTGTATAGCTACTACTACACGTGTAGTACTACTACTAATGTAGTAGTAGCTACTACACGTGTAGTACTACTACACGTGTAGTAGTACTACACGTGTAGTACAGCTAGTAATAGTAGTAGTACTACTACACGTGTAGTAGCTACTACACGTGTAGTAGTAGCTACACGTGTTGTAGTAGTAGCTACACGTGTAGTAGCAGCTAGTAATAGTAGTAGTAGCTACTACACGTGTAGTAGCTACTACACGTGTAGTAAGCTACACGTTTGTAGTACTACACGTGTAGTAGCAGCTAGTAATAGTAGTAGTACTACTACACTGTAGTAGTATCTACTCACGTGTAGTAGTAGCTACACGTGTAGTGCAGCTATAATAGTAGTAGCTACTACACGTGAGTAGTAGCTACACGTGCAGTAGTAGCTACACGTGCAGTAGTAGCTACATGTGTAGTAGTACTACTACTGTTTTATTTTAGGGCCCCTTCATAACATAATGCTACAGGCACCGCACTAACTTACTCCGGCACTGGCTCACGTAACGGCTGACATATACACACGTATATTTATAAGAAGAAAGATGATTATTATTATATCATAATACAAACAGATGCGTGCATTGATTAGACGATGACAGAGTAGACTTCTCCCCACCCCACTGATTTGCGTATCTGCGCTGTTGATTCGCGGTGTCCCAGAGCGACCCCACTGAGATTGTTCGGTGTGGGCATGGCCGACTCGCCCTCACGTCTCCTACGTGTCCACAGGTGTCTCCGTGTCTCCCAGGTGTCCCCGTGTCTCTGTCTCACACAGGTGTCTCCGTGTCTCCGTTGCATCCGTGTCTCCCCAGGTGTCTCCGTGTCTCTGTCTCGCACAGGTCTCCGTGTCTCTGTCTCGCACAGGTGTCTCCGTGTCTCCCAGGTGTCTACCTGTCCCCAGGTGTCTACCTGTCTCCGTGTCTCCCAGGTGACTCTACAGGTGTCTCCGTGTCTCCCAGGTGTCCCCGTGTCTCTGTCTCACACAGGTGTCTCCACAGGTGTCTCCGTGTCTCCCCAGGTGTCTACCTGTCTCCGTGTCTCCCAGGTGTCTCCAGGTGTCTCCGTGTCTCCCAGGTGTCTCCACAGGTGTCTCCGTGTCTCCCAGGTGTCTCCCCAGGTGTCTCCGTGTCTCCCCAGGTGTCTCCCAGGTGTCTCCCAGGTGTCTCCCAGGTGTGTACCTGTCCCCGTGTCTCCCAGGTGTCCCGTGTCTCTGTCTCACAGGTGTCTCCGTGTCTCCCCAGGTGTCTACCTGTCCCCGTGTCTCCCAGGTGTCTCCCCAGGTGTCTACCTGTCCCCTGTCTCTGTCTCACATAGGTGTCCCCGTGTCTCTGTCTCACATAGGTGTCCCCGTGTCCCCGTGTCTCTGTCTAACGCAGGTGAGTTTCTGTCTCCGTGTCCCCGTGTCTCCGTGTCTCTGTCTAACGCAGGTGAGTTTCTGTCTCCGTGTCCCCGTGTCTCCGTGTCTCTGTCTAACGCAGGTGAGTGTCTGTCTCCGTGTCTCCGTATCCCCGTGTCTCTGTCTAACGCAGGTGAGTTTCTGTCTCCGTGTCCCCGTGTCCCCGTGTCCCCGTGTCTCTGTCTAACGCAGGTGAGTTTCTGTCTCCGTGTCCCCGTGTCCCCGTGTCCCCGTGTCTCTGTCTAACGCAAGTGAGTTTCTGTCTCCGTGTCCCCGTGTCCCCGTGTCTCTGTCTAACGCAGGTGAGTTTCTGTCTCCGTGTCCCCGTGTCTCCGTGTCTCTGTCTAACGCAGGTGAGTTTCTGTCTCCGTGTCCCCGTGTCCCCGTGTCTCTGTCTAACGCAGGTGAGTTTCTGTCTCCGTGTCCCCGTGTCTCCGTGTCTCTGTCTAACGCAGGTGAGTTTCTGTCTCCGTGTCTCCCAGGTGTCTCCGTGTCTCCCAGGTGTCTCCGTGTCTCCCACCAGGTGTCTGTCTCCGTGTCTCCCACCAGGTGTCTGTCTCCGTGTCTCCCACCAGGTGTCTGTCTCCGTGTCTCCCACCAGGTGTCTGTCTCCGTGTCTCCCAGGTGTCTCCGTGTCCCCCAGGTGTAGTCTCCGCGTCTCCGTGTCTCTGTCTCGCACAGGTGTCTGTCTCCGTCGTCTCCCAGGTGTCTCCCAGGTGTCTCCCACCAGGTGTCTGTCTCCGTGTCTCCCCCAGGTGTCTGTCTCCGTGTCTCCCACCAGGTGTCTGTCTCCGTGTCTCCCAGGTGTCTCCCAAGTGTCTCCGTGTCTCCCAGGTGTCTGTCTCCGCGTGTCTCGCCGGGCGTGTGACGAGCGAGCCGGTCGTGTCACTGGAGCTGCCGGTGGCGATGAGGAAGCGAGGCAACCCGGAACGAAGAATGTGGGGCGTGAGCACAGACTGGGGGTGCGTCTGTGTGTGTGTGTAGGTGTGTGTGTGTGTAGGTGTGTGTGTGTGTAGGTGTGTGTAGTTGTGTGTGTAGGTGTGTGTGTAGGTGTGCGTGTGTACAGGTGTAGTGTGTGTGTGTAGTGTGTGTGTAGGTGTAATTGTGTGTGTAGGTGTGTGTGTGGGGTGGGTGTAGGGGGTGTGTAGGTGTGTGTGTGTGTGTAGGTGTAGTTGTGTGTGTAGGTGTGTTGTAGTTTGTGTGTGTAGGTGTGTGTAGGTGTGTGTGTAGTGTGTGTAGGTGTAGTGTGTGTGTAGGTGTGTGTGTAGTGTGTGTGTGTAGGTGTGTGTGTGTAGGTGGTGTGTGGGTGAGACTGGAGCGTGCCACTAGGAGGTGGGGCCTTACCATCAGCCCACCAAAACTAAGCACCTGCCTGGGTATTTGTCCTATCGGACACTCCACCCCCACAACTCCCAATCGGTGATGGGGCAGTAGTGGAGAGAGTGGAGAGTTTCCCACATCTGGGCAGTGTGTTCATGACCGGCTACGGTTTAACAGCAGAGTCTCACTGGTACCAGCGTGTCAAGATCGGCCTCTGTGGAGGAGGCTCGTGAAGGACGCTACTGGGCAGTTGGAGGCAGTCGCCCTCCAACAACAACGGAGGGCGGAGGAGCGACGCTCACAACAACGAGCGGAGCGCCGGGTGGCTAAAGCACAGCAAGTTGGCACAGTAGGGGGCACAGGTGGTGCATCAGCCAGTCATCTCGGTCAAATATCCCCGTGTAGCCTTTGACAGGCTGTTGGGGCAAGTGCTGTTAGCAAGCACAGGCATACACACACAGACAAAGATCCCCCGTGTAGCCTCTGACAGGCTGTTGGGGCAAGTGCTGTTAGCAAGCACAGGCATACACCACACACAGACAAAGATCCCCCGTGTAGCCTCTGACAGGCTGTTGGGGCAAGTGCTGTTAGCAATCACAGTTATACAGACAAAGACAAAGATCCCCCGTGTAGCCTTTGACAGGCGTTGGGGCAAGTGCTGTTAGCAAGCACAGGCATACACACACAGACAAAGATCCCCCGTGTAGCCTCTGACAGGCTGTTGGGGCAAGTGCTGTTAGCAATCACAGTTATACAGACAAAGACAAAGATCCCCCGTGTAGCCTTTGACAGGCTGTTGGGGCAAGTGCTGTTAGCAATCACAGTTATACAGACAAAGACAAAGATCCCCCGTGTAGCCTTTGACAGCTGTTGGGGCAAGTGCTGTTAACAAGCAGTCATACACACACAGACAAAGATCCCCGTGTAGCCTCTGACAGGCTGTTTGGGCAAGTGCTGTTAGCATCACAGTTATACAGACAAGACAAAGATCCCCCGTGTAGCCTCTGACAGGCTGTTGGGGCAAGTGCTGTTAACAAGCACAGGCATACACACACACAGACAAAGATCCCCCGTGTAGCCTCTGACAGGCTGTTGGGGCAAGTGCTGTTAGCATCACAGTTATACAGACAAAGACAAAGATCCCCCGTGTAGCCTCTGACAGGCTGTTGGGGCAAGTGCCGTTCGTGGCGAGTAGCAAGCAGCACAATTGTGAAATCTGGCACGACACCTGGGGGGAGGGGGGTTCCCTTGGCAATGGTCGCGCACATCCGGCCGCCTTTGTCCCCCTATAGCGATGTTGCTGACGTGACGTGTCGTATAACATCGCCACGGTTACAAAACCAACCCTCCCACCGACACCACCCACACACCCCCCACACCAACCTACACCACCCCCCACACAACCCACACACCGACCCCACACACCCCCCACCAACCACACACACCCCCCCCCCACACACCCCCAGACCCCCCCACACATCCCCCACACCCCCCACACACACAACCCACACACCCCCCACACCCACACACCAACCCACACACCAACCCACACAGACCCCCACACCAACCCACACACCCCCCACAAACCCACACACCCCACACCAACCCTACACACCAACACCACACCACTCCACACCCCCCCACCCCGACCCACACACCGACCCCACACACCCCCCACACCGACCCACACACCAAGCCACACACCCCACACAACCCACACACCCCCCACACACCCCCACACACCAACCTACACACCAACCCACACACACCTCCCACACACCCCCACACCGACCCACACACCCCCCCACACCCCTACACCCCCCCCCCACCCCCCCCCCACACCCCCCAACCCCCCCACACATCCCCCACCCCCCCACACACCCCCCAACCAACCCACACCAACCCACACACCCCCCTACACCTCCCACACACCTCCCATACACTACAACATATGCAGAAGTAGCTACGTGCCCCGCACTTTCTAGAGCCCCGCGCGAAACGCTTTCAAGCTGTCATTCCGGTTCAGTGATGCTGCACTTGCTCTATTGCTATAGTACTATACTGCCCTTCAACTTTGATGAACGACTTGGGGGGGGGGGCGGTGTTTAAGCTTTGCAATTTGTCGTATGTCTGACTGTATAGCAAATGAAAAAATACAAATACTTTACTGTGCAAGTAAAAACGTTGTGTGTTTTCATATTAAGTGTTTTTTTTATGTCGGGCCCCTTCAAAACATATGCTACAGTCACGTGGCCCTCCCCCGAGCCTCCAACAACTCGATCTCGACCGAGTTGTTGGTGCGTGGTGACAAACAAACATCTTTCGTGACTGCAGGGATTCATCTTCTTGGTTCTTTCGGTAAGTCGTCACGTAGAAGGGAAATAATAAAATAATAAAATAAACATAATAAATACATTTAAAGCTTCTTTCGTGACTGCAGGGATTCATCCTTCTTGGTTCTTTCGGTAAGTCGTCACGTAGAAGGGAATAATAAAATAATAAAAAATAAAACTAATAAAATAATTCTCACGACGTTTCGGCCACAACGCAAGCAGCCGTCCTCAGTGAAACCAGGTCTGTCGAGGCGACAGCGCTGACGCCTCGACAGACCTGTTTTCACCTGAGGACGGCTGCTTGCGTTGGGCCGAAACGTCGTGAGAATTATTTTATAATGTTTTTATTTTTTATTATTTATTATTTCCTTTTGTGAGAATTGTATTTTGTTATTTTTGAATTTTATTATTCCCTTTGTGCGAATTGTATTTTATTATGTTTCAATTTTATTTTTATTTCCCTTTGTGAGAATTGTATTTTATTAAGTTTTATATTTTTTATTTTTTATTATCCCTTTGTGAGAATTGTATTTTAAATGTTTAATTTTTTGTTATTTATTATTTCTTTTGTGAGAATTATATTTTATTAAGTTTTATATTTTTTTTATTATTTCCCTTCGTGAGAATCGAATTTTATCAATTGTATTTTATTATTTTTTTATTTCCCGTCGTGAGAATCGCATTTTATCACGTTTTATTTTCATTGTTTTATTACTTCCATTCTACGTGACGACTTTACCGAAAGAACCAAGAAGACAAAACGAACATCGCCACGAGGAGAACAAGGGGGTGCTGGCCACCCACCGCACCCACTCCGTGTGGTGACTCCAGCCTTCGTATAAGTGGCGGGGTGTGGCGGTGGTGGTGGCGGCGGTGGCTTTCTTTGTCTCCGTGCGGAGCGCAGATTAAAAATAGCCACGTGGTCTTTAAATAGCCGCGTGCCGTACGCCATTTATCGCGTGACGTCACGAATCTCACCCCCCCCCCACGCGCCGCGTCACTTGACGACGTCATTGACGAGGCACCACGCCCCGTTCGGAAGTGGTCCCCTCCCCCCCCACACACATTCCATTCCCAATGATGAGAATCTTGTGATTTTTCTTCTTAGTTTCTTTCGGTAAAGTTCATGTAGAAGGAAATAATAAATAATAAAAATAAACTAATAAAATAATTCTCACGACGTTTCGGCCACAACGCAAGCAGCCGTCTTCAGGTGAAGACAGGTCTGTCGGGAAGACAGAGACTGAATGAACACCACCAGGCTTGGCAGCGTCTATTTAAGCTGCTGGGTTGGAGGGAAGAGAGACTTGACAAAAGAATTTGCATATCAAGAGGAATTTAGCATATTTATGGGAAATGCAGATATGGGATTAGTCACTACTTGTGAATGCGTAGGAGGTGGGTGTGGGGGGGGGTTTCAAAGTCATATTATGCAGGAGTGTAAACACATAGCAAAGGTAAACACGTGACTTCAACGATTGAAATTAGACCAACATCATTTTGTGTTAAAGGTCACGTAGCAGTAGTTTTTAATTATTTTATTATTTATTAAACGCTTTTATTGAACTCACTCCGTCTTGTTTCGTATCCTCAAAAAATCTTGTAACTCAATTTTTGTTACCAACTTCCCAATGTGCTATCGACTGCTAACTTGGTATACTTATGACATACTGATGACAGTACTATATTCTAAAAATAAAACATATTTTAAACAATCTTTTTAACGGCTCCAATTGTTCTAGATTTGAAGCTTTCGTGACTGCAAGGATTCATATTTCTTAGGTTTTTTTCGGTAAAGTCACGTAGGTTAAAACATTAAAATTAATAAACGTAAATAAAATTAAAATCACGACGTTTCGGAGGCAACACAAGCTTTTATTTAATTTTATTTACTGATACAGCTGTCGTGGCGTGACGGTTCCACCTGAAGACGGAAGCTTGTGTTGCCTCCGAAACGTCGTGATTTTATTTTTATTTTACTTTTTAATTTTTAATTTTTACCTACGTGACTTTACCGAAAAAAACCTAAGAATATGAATCCTTGCAGTCACGAAAGCTTCAAATCTAGAATGATATCATTATCATCATCATCACAGTTTAACACTAAGCTTTCGCGACCAATACCATCCATAAGAGAGTTTTTTAGTGTATCGTCTAGTGTAGCATGTAGTGTATAGTAATGCATAGTGTAGTGTATAGCAGTTGTAGTTAAGTGTAGTGTATATGTAGTGTATAGTAGTGCATAGTGTAGTGTATAGCACTGTATGTATAGTGTAGTGTTAGCAGTGTAGTGTATAATAGTGCATAGTGTAGTGTATAGCAGTGTAGTGTATAGTAGTGCATAGTGTAGTGTATAGTGTAGTGTATAGCATGTAGTGTATAGTAGTGCATAGTGTAGTGTATAGTGTAGTGTATAGCAGTATGTAGTGTATAGTGTAGTGTATAGTGTAGTGTATAGCAGTGTAGTGTATAGTGTAGTGTATAGTAGTGTATCGTCTAGTGTATAACAGTGTAGTGTAGGTAGTGTACAGCATTGTATAGTGTAGTGTATAGCATGGTACTGTATAGTGTAGTGTATAGCATTGTATAGTGTAGTGTATTGCAGTGTAGTGTATAGTGTAGTGTACAGCATTGTATAGTGTAGTGTTAGCATTGCACTGTATTGTAGTGATAGCTGTATAGTGTAGTGTATTGCAGTGTAGTGTA